GTCAGTGGGGTGAATGGGGGGTCAGTGGGGGACGAGGCGGGGCAGGCACGGGATGGGGGCACTGGGGACGAAGCAGTCCCGGGGGTCCCGGCAGTGGGGGGATCCCGGGGTGCCGGGAGTGGAGGGGGACGGGACATGCCGAGGTGGGGATTCCTGTGCGGGGGGGGGTCTCACCTGGACTCCTCACTCTGCAGGTTCTCCACAGACAGCACCGAGCAGGGGAACACCTGGCGCTTGTGCAGCTGAGACAGTCCTGCGGGGCGCGGGGGGGTCATGGGGGAACTGGGGGACACGGGGGGCTGGGGACACATAGGGGGACACGAGGGGACACAGGGACGCGTATAGGGCTGGGGACATGGTGGGCTGAGGGGTCATAGGGGGACCGGGGGGACTGGGTGGTCATGAGGGGCTGGGGAGGGGCAGGGATTTGGGGGGACATGGAGGGGCAGAAGGCTGGAGGTCATGAGGGGACAGGAAGGCTGGGGGGGGACCCAAAGGCTCCTGGGGAGGTCATGAGGGCGCTGGGGGAGTCCCGGGGGGCTGGGAGTGGCCCCCAAAGCTGTGGGGTGTGAGGGGATTCCCACAGGATGCTCGGGGGGTGCTATGGGGTGTCCCGGGGTGTCGGTGACAGGTGGGGGGTGACACGAGGGACTCGGGGGGTGCCGCAGGTTTCGGGGGGTCCCGGAGGAGTCGGTACCGGCCAGAGTCTCGGTGGCCTGGGGCTGTGGCACCAGCCGGTGCCGCTGGCGCTTCCAGCCCTGGGGCGGGGCGAACAGCTCCTCGGCCCCCCCTGCCCCGTCCCCCACGCAGAACGTCTCGCAGGCAGCCTGGGGGTACAGGGGGCGGTGGGTGCCAGGCGGGGGGCCTGTGAGTGCCCCCCAGCTCTGGTACCTGGAAGAGCAGGTGTGCCCAGGGCTCCTGAGGCCCCGGCCCCCGTACCTGGAACACCTGGCGTGCCCAGGTGCGGAACGACTCCTCCTGGGCGCACAGCTCGTCACCCTCGCCCAGGGGCAGCACCCGCTCGCCCCCCAGCTCCTCCAGCCGCGTGTCCACGGCCCGCGCGAAGGCACAGAAGTGGGGGTACGCCCGGGACCCCAACCCGAACACCGCGAACCTGGAGGGAGAATGGGGGGTGAGGGTCCCCAGGGATGTGGGGGTGTGCCCTGAACACCGCCAGCCTGGGTGGGGATGCACTGAGGGGGACCCCCAGAGTCGGAGGGGTCAGGGCAGAGCAGGGCAGGCGGGGCTGGAGCTGCCAGTGCCGATGTGAACCCCTCCATGGGACATCCCAAATCCCAGCAGGGCAGCGTGCCCAGGCAAGGACCCCATCCCGTGCCCATCCCGTGCCCATCCCGTGCCCATCCCGTGCCCATGCCCTCGGTACCGCAGGGCTCCCAAGGTCCCTGCACTGTCTGTGTTGCTCAGCTGCCGCCGCTTCTTCTTCCAGGAGGACACGAGCTGGTCGGACTGGGAGACGCTGTTGAACCGCAGCTTGTAGCTCCTGGGGGCGTGAGGGGCGTCAGGGGGGATCCTGGCCCGGCCCAGCAGGGACCCCCCAGGACCCCCGAGGTGCTCACATGGGCGGCTCCGCCTGGGAGGTGCCGGTGTACGGCGATGTCATCTCCATCAGTGCCTTGGAGAAGCTCTGCGAGGGGAGGAGTGTCACCCCCACATCCCATCCCATCTCCAACCTCAACCCCATCCCAATCCCATCCCTGTCCTAATCCTAATCCCAATCCCAATCTTAATCCTAATACCAATCCCCATCCCATCCCTACCTCAGCACATTCTGGAGGGTCCCCATTCCCAAATGTGCTGGTGACCACCAAGACCAGGGTCTCGTGCTCCAGGGCCACCACATCGTACTCATCCATGCACAGCACCTTCAGGAATTCCAGGATTAGGGTTCCTCCACGGAACTGCAGTGGGCACCTCCCCTCACCCAAACCCCACCTTGGCCTTTGGCCCCAGGGGGAGGTGGGTGGGGGGAGCTGCCCCAGTTCTCCCCTTTTCCCTCCAAACCTTGGGATCAAAGGCCCTGCGGAAGAGCTGGCATAGGTTCCAGGCGTATGTCCGTGATTTCCCGGTCTCCGTGGCATAGAGGATGGTGGCCTTGACCCGTCGCGCCATCACGTGTCCCATGAGCTTGGCCGAGATCTTGACAGCGCTGTGGGATCCCCAGGGCCACCGTGGGATCAGCATGGGATTCCCAGGGGACCCCAGAACTCCCAGGAGACCCCCAGGATCATGGGGTTCACCTACTTGGCCACTTCCTTGAAGGTCTTTCTCCGGGTGACAGTGGTGCCTTTGGACACGTAAACCTTCCAGGCGTCCGGCTGGGGGAAAGGGGGGCGGTTGTGGGGCAGAGGGGACATGGGGGGGTTAGTTGTGAGGCCCGGGGGGGTTTGGGGTCTGTGGGATTATGGGGCAGAGGGGTTGGGGAGCAGGGTGGGCTGGCTGTGGGGGGTTTGGGAGAGGGGCTGTGGGGCAGGGGTCCCACCTGGTAGCGGAAGGTGGGGCTCAGGTGGTAATTCACCATCTCCTGGTGGAACACGGGTGTGAGGCTGCCCGAGAGGGGGGGCACGATCCAGGCCCAGTCTGCGGGACACCCGCCCCGCGCCCGCCCCTCTGCCGCCAGGTGCTTCATGAAGGACTCGGTGGCTGCGTGGTGGTCCACGATGGTCACCTGGGCCACCTGCGGCGACAGGGGGGCAATGGAAACTCGGGCTACCTGTGGAGATGCTGGGCGCAGGGATGTGGGGGTTCCCGTGACCCAGCAGTTTGGGGGTCCCGCCCCGGGGGTCCCACCTGGAAGCTGTGCAGCACGGCCACGTTCACCTCCACAGCCGCCCGGTCCTTCCAGAGGGAAGAGCTGGTTCCTGTGTCCAGCCCCATGCGCTGGGCCACCTCCTGCGGGGGTCAGCAGGGCAAGAGTGGTCAGGGGGGTCAGCCAGGGGGTCCCTGAGGGGTCCTGGAGGGGGTCCTAGTGGTGTCCTGTTCGGGGTACCAGAGGGGTCCCAGGGGGATTCTGGGGGAGGTCCCGGGAGTGATCCAGGGATGGTCCTGGTGGGGGCTCTGATGAGGGTCCCTGGATGGGCCTGAAGGGGGTCCCAGGGTGCTCCCAGTGGGGGTCCTGGGGTTCCAGGGGGGCCCAGTGTGGGTCCCAAGGGAAATCTTGGGGAGTACAGGGAGCTCTCAAGAGGAGTCCTGGGGGGACCCCAGTGCAGTCCCAGGGGTCCCAGTGCAGTCCCGGGGGGGTCCCAGTGCAGTCCCGGGGGTGTCCCTGTGCAGTCCCGGGGGTGTCCCTGTGCAGTCCCGGGGGTGTCCCGGTGCAGTCCCGGGGGTGTCCCTGTGCAGTCCCGGGGGTGTCCCGGTGCAGTCCCGGGGGTGTCCCAGTGCCGTCCCGGGGGTGTCCCTGTGCAGTCCCGGGGGTGTCCCGGTGCAGTCCCGGGGGTGTCCCGGTGCAGGCCGGGGGCTCACGGGCAGCACGTCGTAGCGGTGGCGGTCGCAGAGGTTCCGGGAGCCGATCTCGGTGCCCATGTACCACCCGTTGAACGGCGCCGCGGGGAACTCGAGCCCGCCGATCTCCAGCAGCAGGTTGGCCACGGCGGGCAGAGCGTGCCAGCGCAGCCCCAGCTCCGAGAACCACTCCAGCCTGGGGGGTACCGGGGGGCTGTGGCTGCACCCTCACAGACCCACACCGGCCCCGCAGACCCGCACCGTGGGTACCCAGCTCCACCCCAGCTGCAACCCAGTATCCACCCAGGGAGGGCCAGGACACCGACAGCTCCGTCAGGGACAGGATCAGCACCCGGTGCTCCAGAACCCAGCCCAGAAGAGGATCAGCAGCCCGGTATTCCAGCCCGGGAAGGAGCCAGCATTCCAGTGTCCGTCAGGGATGAGGTCAGACCCGCGTCTGCTCTGTGTCCCCTGTGGGGCCCCCAACCTCCATCCCCGTCTCCACCCCTTCTCCAAACCCTCCCCTGGGACTCCAGCCCAGGCCACCGGGACAGTCGCGGGGTCAGAGCCGCACTCACGTGGGGTGGTGCAGCGGCACCTCCAGGACCAGCTCCGGGGGCAGTGGGAAGAGCTCGGGGGACTCGTCGGGGCTCTGCAGCAGCAGCGGCAGCACGTCGAACCGCCCCCCCCCGGGGGTCCAGCCGTGCTGGATGCAGAGCTGGGGGGGGACAGCGTCAGGGGGGGCCTCCAGGAGGTGTTTGGGGGCGCAGAGATTGGGGGGAGATGGAGGGGATAGAGGGAAGATGGAGAGAGGGATGGAGGGAGAAGGAAGAGAGATGAAGTGGGAATGGAGGGCGGCATGGAGAGAAGGTTGAGGGGGGATGGAGAGGAAATAGAGGAGCGATGGGGAGGTGGTGAGGGGGGGTCTGGGGGCGCAGGGGTCCCCCCACCTCAGTGATGTCCACATTGGCAGGGTCGCCCCGCACGGAGCCGTCGGGCTGCCGGTACCCCGCGTAGCGGATCAGCTGCGGGTTCCAGATGCGGAAATCGCCGCGCCCCGGAGCCCGGGGGGGGAAGATGGTGATGGCGGACCTGGGGGGGAGGGAGAGCTGTCAGGACACCCTGCGGCCGCGGGGTCAGGGGCAGCCGGGGAGATTCTCACCGGATGTTGCCGCGGTTGGTGGCGAACTGGATGTGAGAGCAGAGGAGGCTGAACATTTCCCCCAGCCCCGCGCAGTCCCGGGCATCAAACACCTGCGGGGGGGACAGCGTGGGTGTGGGGACCCCTTCGGGGCAGGTGCGGGGAGAGTCCCCGGGGGAAATTGCAGCCAGGAGGTCCTTTGGAACAGGGGTCCCCATGGGGCGGGGGTGGTTTGGGGTCTTTGCTGGGGCGGGGGTCCCCGTGCAACAGGTGCACGGCAGGGTCTCTGTGAGGTGGGGGTCACCACACGACACGGTAGGAGGATCCCCGTGGTGTGGGGGTGGCCATGGGGGTGTTGGTCCCTGTGGGGTGAGTTGGGGTGCCTTTGGTGTCCCCAGGAGTCTGAGGTCACCATGTGTTGGTGTCCCCGTGGGTGTGGTGGGTGAGGGTCCCGCGGGTGGGGCCGCACCTGCAGCTTGTTCCACTGGATGCGGCCGACGCAGCGCGCCGCGTTCCGCCACGCCTGCTTGGCACCGAACGTCAGCTCGGGCTCCCGGAGCCGGTACGAGCCCGAGGCCGCGATGTCCGCGGCCACCTCCCGCAGCCGCTGCGTGTGGGCCGGGGAGTTCTCCCTGCAGGGACACCCTCAGCACCCACAGACAGCGAGACCAACACCCACCGCCCCCTGACACCCGCACCCTCGGAGGTAGGGGAGCAAACAGCGCCAGGGGTGCTCTGGGGCCGGGATGGGGGATATGGGATGTCCCAGGGCAGGGATGGGGGATATGGGATGTCCCAGGGCAGGGATGGGGGATATGGGGTGTCCCAGGGCAGGGATGGGGATATGGGATATCCCAGGGCATGTCTGGAGCTACAGGGGTACCCTGGCGTGAAGATGGGGATGTAGAGTACTCTGGGCAGGGATGGGGGTACTTTTCGACAGGGATGGGGCTGTGGGGTGCCCGGGGCAGGGCTGTGGGTGCTCCGGGGCCGCGGGGTGCCCGTGCCCGTGCCCGCTGTGGGGGTGCCCGTGTCTGTTGTGAGGGTGCCCTCCGCGCTCACCGCCGCAGGGACACGTAGTACTGGGTGATGAAGTCCCGGGCCAGCTCCAGCAGCTCCTCGGGCGCTCGCGTCCCCTCGGGGGTCGGGGCGGGCAGCGGCCGCGGCAGCACCAGCGAGCCCAGGCAGCGCTGCCCCGAGCAGGGCACCTCCTGGTGGGGGGCGTCAGGTGAGCCCCCCGTCCCTGGATCCCCTTCCACACTCTGCCCCGCTCATGTCTGTCACCCTGGCACCCCACAAACCTGCACCCCTAGCCCTGCCCCCTGACTTTGCCTCTCCATCTGCCTCCCAACCTTGCAGCCCCCCCAATCCTGACCTCCAACCTGCACCCCCAGTCCTCTGCCTGCATCCCCCCGCCTTTTCAGCCTTCAGCCCCACACCCCACTCCGGTGCCCCCATCCCCGTGCCCCCCAGCCGCTCCCCGTGCCCCCGCACCTGCCCCGCGGTGGCACAGAGCGTGTCGTAGCTGATGCTCCCCGTCTCCCAGTTCTTCAGGCGGGCGAAGCGGGGCGGCTCCGCCGGAGAAGAGGGCACCGGGCTGGGGGGTGACACGGGGCACCCCTGAGACCTGACCGGGCACGAGGAGGGCCAGCCCAGGGTCTCGGGGGGCTTGGGGAGAAACGCAGGCCCTCCCCGCGGCTCTGACAGCGGGACCCCTCAGGTGCGGGGCCCTGTCCGAGGGGATGCGACAGGAGGGGGGGAGCGCTGGGTGGCTGTGGCGGGCACACTGAGGGGAGTCCGGGGACTTCCCCAACATCTGGTGCTGCTGGAGGCGGGGGGGGTCCAGAGCCCTCGGATCAGCTTCGTGGGGATGGGTCGTGGCAGGGAAGGGAGGGCCAGGGAATGGGGAGGCTCAGAGGATGGGGGTGCCTGGGGGTGGGGGCAGAGGTTGGGGGGACTGAGCTGGGGGGATCAGGGGATGCAGGGATCAGGGGACGGGGGAACAGGAGATGGGGGGCTGAGCTGGGAAGTCAGGGAATGGGAGATTAGGATATAGGGGGCTGCGTTGGAGGGGTCAGGAGTTGAAGGGTCAGAGGATGGAGGGGGCGCGGGGCGTTCCTGGCCCTCGTGTGAGTGAACAATGGCCATGAGTCAGACCGGGCTCCGGGCCACCGCGGGGGGAGGACACGCCCCCCGTCCCATGCCCATCCCCTCCGAGCCCCCATCCGACCCCGAGTGTGGGGTCCCCACGGGACCCCATACACCCCTCCCCATATGTCCCCCCATGTACCCCCAGACCCGATTCGCCCCAGGGCAACCCAGTGGGTCCTACGGGCTGCTGGGGCCACGCCGTGGGACAGGAGACACTGTCCCTACTCCACGGGCAGTGCGCACACGGCTCTGCTGCCGGTGGGCTCCGTGCTCTGAGCCAGTGCCCCACGCGAGCCACCCTGTCACCCGCGGGGACACCTGCACGGCGGGGACACCTGCACGGAGGGGACACCTCCGTCTCCGGTGGACTCCGGCCATGTGCGAACGTCCCCGCGAGGGAGGAGGGGGTCCCCGACGAGGCTCGGAGCTGGGGCAGGTGAGTGCCGGTGCCCCGGTGCCCCGTCCATCCTTTCCACCCCATTCCTCCCCATCCCACCCCCTCCGTCCCACCTGGGCACCCACCTGGGGGGCTCGGTGACAGCGGTGGAGGCCGCGGTGACAGGGGGGTCCTCGGGCGCGGGGCCGCGCGGGCGCGAGCAGAGGCCGAGGCCGGGGCAGGCGCGGGGGGCTCCGGGCAGGACCCCCGGCAGGTTCCCCATCGCGGCCCCACTGAGCCGGGAGCGGCCGCTTCCCGCTTCCTACAGCCCGGGGAAATGGTGACGAGGCCGCGACGCCCCCGCCCCGCGCACAATGGGCACCGCCACCTCCGCCGTCACCGCCACTGCCACCTCCACTGCCACCGCCACGCGGCGTGGGACACACCGCGGACCCCTCCGGGGGCATCAAACCCACTCTGACCCCCGGCCCTCTGGCATGTGGCCATGGGGAGGGGGCGATGGCACCCACAGAGGGGGACACGGCACTCATGGCCCTTGGGGGGATTTGGGAACACAGATAACACCCGGGTGGGACACAGCTCTGAGGGAACGTGGCACTGGGAGGAGGATATGTGGCACTGGGGGAGTGGGAGGATATGTGGCACTGGGGGGGCATGTATGGCACTGGGGGGCATGTATGGCACCCAGAGGGGAGACACAGCACTGAAGAGGACACGGCACCCACGGGCGGCATGGAACTGGGGAGATACGCGTGGCACCGGAGGAACGTGCACATGGCAGCGGGGCGGGCATGGCACCCTGGGGACACAGCGATGGCACCCAGAGCGAGGACACAACACTCACGGGGGACACACAGCACTTGGGGGGCTGCGGTGGTGGCAGGGACCCCCATCCCGGCCACGGGACACTGTGCCTCCCCCACATTTGCACGGGGCGATCGGGGGGTTCCCGGGCCGCCCCCAGCCCCCCGGCCGTGGGGCGGATGTCCGGCGGGACCCCCCCATTTCCCGCTGCTTCCACCCAGTTCCGGCCATTGACGTGCTGGGCGCTGCCGGGGACCCCCAGGTCAGCACCCCTGCGGGGAGCTGTGCAGGGGGGAGTGCACCCCACGACCCTCCCGGGGGCACCCTGCGCGGGGGTGGGGGGGGTTCACCCCAGCTGTGGGCGGGGAGGGTCCTACGGTGACCCCGGCGTGGGGCGGGGGTCGCGGGGCTGGGGCGGGGGTGGTTTTGGGATGCGGGGGGTGGCGGGGGGTGGCTGGGGGGTGCGGGGTCCCTCGGGTCCCAGTGGGTGAGTCCCTCCGGAGGTTCGAGGGGGGGCTCAGGCCGCGGCTCACGCAGCGACGGGAAACCGCGCCCGGTGCCGGCCCGGCGGTTCCTTCCTGCGCGGGGGAGCGGGGCGGGGGCAACCGGGAGGCGCGGGGCACGACCGGGGCATCGCACGGGCGGCAGAGCCGGGGCAGGGGCGCCGCAGGGACCCCCGGGGGGACACGGACTGGGGTTCTATCGCCCCGTCTCGGGGCATCCCGGGTTGCCACCCCCTCCCCGGGATGTTCCCCGCCCCCACGCGCCGTGGGGCGGGACAGGCCTGTCTGTCACGACAGAGCGCCCACCCGATTGTCTGCCCTGCCGGGGGGCGGGGCCTTGAGCCCCCTCTCAGCTCCCCCCGCTCCACAGCCCCTGCAAATCCACAGCCTCCCCTATTCCATGGCCTCCTCCAGCCCCACAGCCCCCCGCCCCGCAGCTCCCCGTACCCCACAGCCCCCCGCCGGCTCGGCTGAGCTCCGGTTCCTCTGCTCTCCGTTCACATTGGGTCGGATCTGGGCGATCCAGTCAGTCTAGTCCATCCGTTTGTGTCCGTTCAGTCCATTTGGGTCCGGTCGGTCCGTTTGGGGCCCACTCGATCCATTCAGGTCCATTCGCGCCCGTTTGGGTCCCGTCGGGTTCATCCGTGGCCGTTCAAAGCCGCTTGGAGCTGGTAGGTCCGGTCGGACTGGTCGGGACTGGTCGGGTCCGGTTGACAGAGCCGGTCCGGTCACACCAGTTGGTTCAGTCGGTCCATTCGGGGCCGTTCAGGTCCGGTTGGTCCATTCGGGTCCGGTCACCCCGGTCGGTGCCTGCGGTCGCGGCCCCGGGGCCGGTGCCATTTTCAGCACCTGGGACAGAGACCGGGATCATCTAGGCTCGGGACTGAGACTGGGACTGGACTGGAACGGCGCTCAGCTGGCCCTGGGACTTGGGCTCTGACCAGGACTGACACCAGGACTGGAAGAGAACTGGGACCGGATTAGGCTGGTGTGGGACTGGGATCGGCACTGGGGCCAGAACCACAACTGAGATTTGGTTTAGTCTGGACTGGGACAGCGCTGAGACCCTGACTGGACTGGGACTGGTTTTTGCTTGCAACTGAGACCAGGACTGGACCAGATATGTACTGGGAGTGGATTGGGATTGCACTGGACTGTGAAGGAACTGGACTGGTCTGGAAGCGGACTAGGACTGCAGTTTGAACTGGTACTAAGACTTGGACTGGATTGGACTGCACTGGAAATGGGATTTCGACTGGATGGAGACTGATACTGGGACCAGACTGGATTGGGACAGGATTGGAAAAAGGACTGGGATTAGGATCTAACTGGGACTGTGACCAGACTGGGATTGAGACTGGGACCACAACTGGACCGGATAGGGTCTAGATGAGCTCTAGTCTGGGCTGAGATTGGGACTGGACAGGACTGGAAACGGGACAGGAACTAGAACTACAACAGAGACTAGGATTAGAATTGGATAGAGGTTGAGATTAGACTGGGATCGGGCCTAGGACAAGGGCTGGTCTTGGACCGGTGCTGGGGCTGAAACTGGAGCTAGACTGGGAAGAGGATTAGGCTGGGCCAGGATGGCACGACTGGGGCTGGGAGGCTCCTAGCAGGACCCAGCTGGGGCTGTGCTGGAAGCTTTGGTGCTGCCCCACATGGTCCCGTTTCCCTGAGTGTCCC